GGCGGAGTGCGTAGACGCATCCAAGCGTGCAGACGACCAGAGGAGTTGGGCTCCAAGCCGAGAAGAAGGGCTGGTTCACAGAAGCGCACCTCCATGGGTGAGTTGGCAGCAAAGCCACGCAACAGCTTGATCCGCTCCTTCTGGACGCCAGTCAAGTTGGCCCTGCAGATATGTGGATAAAAATGAAGAGGGGGTTGGAGAGGAGAGCAGCTATGTGAAGTATTCATATGATAACAGTCAAAGTAGAGAGATACAGTGGACTACGGTTGTCAGGGGAGTTTGGTAGATGTGCCTAATTCAGTTGAGCCAATTGTGGAAATTGCGCCTGTGGGATCCACCATTACGGAACAGCAAGCTGACTGCCCAGACAGGATCTCCTAAGCAATCATCTAGAATCCACCAGAATGACAACTAGGCTCACTTAATTGTTAGGGGGGGGGTTTGGCAGATTTGCTTAAGTGAGCTTCGTAGCTCAATGGTAGAGCGTTGGCTGCGCAAAAGCCTTCCCTGCTGTGTGGGTTCGACTCCCACCTAGGCCACGCATTTTTCAAATTTGGGTCAACTGGACTACGGTCGTGTCAAGTGGACGTAGAAAATTCCGTTTACGGCGAACGATATTGAACTGTCGGCTCCATATTTGGCGAAGTAGAAACTTGTTCGGTTAAGAAAAGAAGAGAACTTGATCGCTGGGACAGCACTTTTATTCGTCTGACGTTTCGAGATCCGTCGCGGATTCATCATCAGAGACATAAGCAGTAGCAGATACGGGTCGAAACGTCAGGCAAATAAAAGTGTTGTCCCAGCGATCGAGCCATCTTCTTCTCACTTTTTCGGTTACTCTGGACCTCATAGTGGTTGTTTGCTAGCAAGCAGAAAAAATACGTGACTGGACGTTAGTTTCGGCCAACCGGCGAACGGCAATTACCGATAGGCTCACGACTCTTGCCCTCGATCACCCCTTCAGCTTCCATGCTGCTTCGCCGTCTGACGCACCACTATGTTGGAATCTTACACACGAACATACTACCTGAAAAAAGTAAGTACAAATTGCTGTTTACTCTCCAACGTTTCCGGACAGTTACTTGTTTGTCACATGCAATTACGCAAACAATATCCTTTTCGATGTCCTCTGTGTATTCATAAAATCTATTCGACCTAGGGAGTTTAAAGGCGTTTCCTATCCTCACCCCCTCTCCTCTTAATGAAACCAAACTGAACTGAACAACCGTCAGCACCTAATTAGGCGAAGCGGTGGCCCTAATGAGCAGAAGAAATTCGCGGCAGCGCATGCTATTCGACTTCGCTCTTAAATGTTTCGCCAGATTCAGCTGAATATTCAATTCTGCGCAGGTAGCGAAGACAAATCACGTAGCATAATTTGTTTTATGGCGAGGAGGTTTGAAATATCGCGCGGGACTGACAGTCACGGATAAGGTTCCGCATGCAGCAGGTCGCCAGGAAGTGTCACCGAAGAAGATAGGGGAAATTAGAATGACAATTTCCGGCTTGCTTGCCATCATGACCTAACCCATATTAGTTTAAGTTTAATGTCCATTTATACTGACGGCAAAGAGACCAGGCAAAACATTCCAGTTTCCTTTAACTTTGCGGATGTTAGTTCCCAATGTGAAAAAGGTTGGAAATAAAAAAAAAAAACGGCGGACATATTCGTACGGATTGAGGTTGTCCACGAATTTGAGGATGCTGCCCAGTTTCTCCGGAGGCGTCACCTTGGGCATGGGGCCAACAAAACTGGCAGCGTCCTCTTCGGGGGACTTGAAGGAACATTCCATGCGGAAGGCAGCTGGGACACTGGTGTCCGCCTGGTTCTGATCCAGTTGGTAGGCCTCAACCGTTCGATGCGAGAAACTACGACTCTCGAGACTTTTCTGCACCTTATAGGCGTTCGGTAAAGTCGGGCTACCTGGGGAAAAAGAATACAAAGAGTACCAAGAAAAGACGGTCAAGCCAGCCAAGCAATCTTCGACAACAGTGTACTCACGAAACCTGAAAATGGAGACGTTCTGCAACCCGACAATAAAAATTATGAAGGTCTTTTATTGTTAAAGATGCTATCGAGGACAAAGGAAACGGTGTTGGGGGAGGATGAGCATTGTGGATCTTGACTAGATCGCGCTATTAACCGGCTACATTTACGTTTCAGATGGGTTAGTAGGTAGTTGGAGTGAACCTAAAAACACACTCGCCCACAACTGGGGACCCAAAATAATAAGGGAGATGGAGATAAAAAGTTCTGGCTCATTAGCCATATCCAGTCACACTTTCGGATAGCCTGGGACTCGAGCGCAGACTATTCTGTCCCTGAACACTTTAAAGTCCCATGTTCTACGTTTAGGCCACGGGCTCGACTGTGATTGAGAGTAGTAGTTAAAACGGGAAGTTCGATTATCAACCAGGTTACGAATAATCACCTGACGGAGATATCTTCCAAATAAAGGTAGACGGTAAGAATCCTCCACGACCTCCACCAGCTTAGGTCAAACTGTGTGCCGAAGGATTGAGCCAAACATGAAATCGACCCGACGCTTGTGATATTCGTCGGACATCATCAAAACCT